GTTTTTTCACACAACTACACGTGTCGGAAAACACCCACCACCCATACGCATGAACGCCGGCTAGTGTTGTTGCACATGTCACCACCGTGCTAGCAACGCGCCCGCCTGGTTGCTACTTTGCTGCATGTTTCAACCCACCACGGAGTACACACCCTGCCGCTTTGCTGCTGCTGCGGTTGTACAGCAGTACTGCTGTACAGCACTGCTGTACAGCAGTAGCTACGTGCAGCAAGTTCCGCTCAGCAATCGTAGACTCACCGTGCTTGGGCGACAAGCTCCGCCTTCGTCTCATACTTGAAGGCGGTGTTCTTGCGAATGCCCGTGGCATGTGACCGTGGGTGATACGTGCATCTGAGCCTCCAACGCTTCGTGTTGCTGCACTGCACTGCGCAAACTTGCGATACTTTGCGTTTGTGGGTGTCAACGTTGGGATCCACACTTTGTAGTGGCTCCATTGTGGAGGGTCTCCTTGCGTACGAGACGCGTGTGCAGAGGTACTCAGCTGGTTGTACAGCAGCACCGGTGCAGCAGGAGCTGCGACAACGGCTGAGATTTCCAAAAAATATGCGGCGTAATTATGCTTTTTGTCCCCGTTTTGGGAAAAGCCTGCATATCACCGAAATATTTGGAGGCTCCTCATTGGCTGAGGCACGTAATAGCCCATATCTTCCCAGCGAAGCCTTAAATCAAAATTCCGACCACGACGATTTGTTCCTTTGCTCGTGGGGGTCACTAATATACTTCAATTGTCAACATTATGTACAAAATTCGTCTGGCAGGAGTGGTTCAATAAATTTTGGTCCATTTCCCTGAACCAGCTTGTGCAGCGCATGCGCAATATGGTCTCCTGGAACGGGTACGGTTGGCAGAAAGGGCAGACAAAGTCTCCAGCAATTCCTCGCACGGAGTAAGTAGTAGGTCTCCTGCAAGCTATTGTAGTCCTACTCTGTCCAGCTCTTGCTGAAGCGTAACCCGCCCGCCTCCCAAGATCTATCTCCCATGATTTACATATTCACTTGGCGTGCTCTCGCGATGTGTGTGTGTGCGTTTTCGGTCGCCCCCTTTCTGTCTTTCTTTCTCTCTGGCGTTTGCTAGCCGCTTTGCTAGCGGTGTGCTGCGTACGCTCTCTTTGCTCTGATGTGTTTATGTCGCACACCTGTTGTTGTTGGTTGTTTTGTCGGCGATACACCTTTAACTCGGTTTTGGGTTGCCTCCGACGGTACCGTCATCTGCTTTTTCGTCGGCGACGGATAATGATGACGCTACGGGCTATGCCGCCGAACACGATCGATTTGATCGACATCACAACAGATTTTCGCGGACGCTGGAGTGATGGCGATCGAGCACGCGGACTTCGAAGGGGTGGAGCGACTGGCGGCGGTAACCGGCGGAGCCACGGCGTCGACCTTCGACCACCCAGAGCTGGCGGTGCTCGGGGAGTGTAAGAAGATCGAGGAGGTGCGTGCGGGGCTACCCTGTGTGACACAAGATACCATCCCCCCAATTCTCAAGCTCGATTATATTACTGGTCCATGACGAAGAGAATGCACGAATCATGTGACATGATTTTCGTGTGGGGCAGAGGGCTACGGAAGGTGACACGAGTTACCACACACACACCCTTTGACACGTTTTTGCAGCTCTCGTTGTGACATGGTTGGGTCCAACGCCGCCATTTTCGGCACCGCCTGCTTTGGAGTAAATCGAGCTTTGAAAATGGGTCCGGGGGTATCCTGTGTCACTCTCCGGGAGGGAGGAGCAGGAGGTACACAAGCTTGTTCACTGCCTGAACTGTTTGATGAGAGCTGATGGAAGGTGTTCGGCTATGTGGTACGGAAGATCGGCAGTCTACGGGAGAGGAGAGAGAAGCGACAAGTGAAAGGCACGAGAGGTGCAAGTACCACGTCGTTTGTCCTTCGGCTGCGGAACAAGGAACCCTCCACGCAGCAGCATAGACGACTTGTTTTCTTTCCTCTGCTCGTCTCCATCCGTCCACTTGCTGAGGCTTCTCTTGTCTGGTCATGTTTTTTGTTGTTGTTGCGTGCATGGACAGGTGATGATCGGTGAGGACACCTTGATCCGATTCTCCGGCTGCAAGGCTGGGGAGGCGTGCACCATCGTGCTCAGGGGGGCTAGGTGCGTAACCCCCCCCCCGTTGACCTTAATTTTTGGTTTGTAGGCGACCTCACTGCTGTCAATTTTTCTCGGCCTTGAACCCTTGAGATGGGATATCTGAGTGATGAATGATGATATCGGAAACCTCCCCTGCAGCTGCTAATGAGGCAAAAAAAGAAATCTTGCTTCTTTTAGCACGGGTTGACTGAGTATGGTGTGAAGCCCGCGTTACTCCTGTGCGTGCCATGAGCGAGTAAGTACGTACGTAACATGATCCGCCCCCTTGTCCTTGTTGCGCGTATGGAGGCCGTTTACGTTCTCACAGCCACACTACGAGATGTTGCACAGGCACCCTACCCCTCCTGTTCGTCGGGGGGCACCGTACCCGCTCCTTAAACCCCGCCGTCGGGAATGTCAACCCAGGACCAAGTCCGAGCCGGAAGCTCGGGAGTCATTCTGTCTCGGCCCCGAGTTTTAACCATGCCCGGCGCATTCTGACCTAAGAAAGCTTCTTTTTTTGTGGACCCAAAAGTACACGTCTTGAGAACGGCAGGCGGGTAGAAGGCAGCCGGGTCTTTCCCGCCGGCTTAAATGGAGCTTTGGTTGTTGTCGTGTTAGGCGTCGAAGCGGTGGCCTCCGCTCCTCGAAAGCGCGAAGGCAACCGCTTCGACACCTAGCGCGACGACGATCAAAGCTCGAGTAAGTGGGCGGGCAAGACCCGGCTACCTTCCACCCCGCCTGCCGTTCTCAAGACGTGTAATATTTTCCTGCATCTCGATAAGAGAAAAGCCAATGCGGGTTAATCTATGTCGGCTTCGTGGTGGTGATTATTGGTTTGGGTATTCTTGGTGTCGAACGTCAGTGGCTTTGTGTATACATGCCTTGGGGGGGCGGGGGCGGGGGGGGGGGGGGGCGTAC